TCATTTCACTTAATTCTCACACTGTGGGAGATGGGTAAGACTAGCTCTGTTTTTCAGACAAGGAAATAATAAAGAAGAGCAGAACTCAGTGAAATGGGAAACAAAAACAATGAAGAAAAACTAGGGAGACAAATAGCTGGTTAAGAAAAAAATGTATAAAATTGGCAAACCTCTGACAAAAAAAAAAAGAGAAAGAAAATACAGATTACCAATGGCAGGTATGAAACTAGGAATATCACCACAGACCCCACAGACTCTAAAGGATAAAGGAGAATACTATGAATAACTCTACACACATAAAATTTGACAAAAGACATGGACCAACTGCTTGAAAAATACAAGTCACTCAATATGAAACAGGTAATATGAGTAGCCCTATAACAATTAGGGAAATTTGAATTTGAATTTTTTTTTTTTTTTTGAGATGGAGTTTCGCTCTTGTTACCCAGGCTGGAGTGCAATGGCGCGATCTCGGCTCACTGCAACCTCCACCTCCTGGGTTCAGGCAATTCTCTTGCCTCAGCCTCCTGAGTAGCTGGGATTACAGGCACGCACCACCATGCCCAGCTAATTTTTTGTATTTTTAGTAGAGACGGGGTTTCACCATGTTGACCAGGATGGTCTCGATCTCTTGACCTCGTGATCCACCCGCCTCGGCCTCCCAAAGTGCTGGGATTACAGGCTTGAGCCACCGCGCCCGGCTGAAATTTTTTTAACTCACCCTTTCACACCAAGAAAAAAAAAAAGCAAACCTCTAAGCATAGAATATTTCACTCAGAATTCTACCAAATATTTAATGAAGAATTAACATAAACTTTACCTAATTTCTTCCAGAAAAAAACAAAAGTTAGGAATACTTCCTAATTTACTTTATGAAGTAATATTTATAGTACTTCAACCCTGTTATGAGGTTGAAAGATAAAAGAGAGACTGGAAGAACATATTTGCAGACCACATATCCAATAAAGAACTAGTTTCTAGTGTATATAAAGAACTCACAGAATTCAACAGCTAAAAAATAAATCATGGTATCCAACTAGAAAATGGACAGAAAACTTGAATAAACATTTCACTGAAGAGGATGTACAGATCACAAGCACATGAGAACATGTTTGATACCATAAACCATTAGGAAAATGCAAACTTAAAAAATGACAACTGTCATGGCACAACTATCCCAATGACTAAAATAAAAAAGAGTCACTGCAGTACCAAATGCTGGCAAGGATGCAGAAAAGCTGGATCAGTCGTAGACTGCTGGTGGGAATGTAAAATGATACGGTCACACTGGAAACACAATTTGGCCATTTCTTAAAAAAACTAAACATGCAACTACCCTGTGACCCAGCAACTGCTCTCCTGGGCATCTTCCCCAGAGAAATGCTCCCACAAAATGTTCACAGAAATCTGTACATGCTGTTTATAACAGCTTTATTCATAATAGCAAAAAACTGGCAATGACTCAGATTCAACAGGTGAGCAGTTGAACAAACTGTGGTGCATCCCTACCATGAAATACAGGAAGAAATAAAAAAGGAACAAACTTTGATACATGTAACAACCTGGATGAACTTCCAGAGGATTATGCTCAGTGAAAAAAAGCCAATCCCAAAAGTGTATACACTTTTGTGTGTACCATTCCATTTACATAACATTATTGAAATAACAAAATGATAGAAATGAAAAACAAACTATTGTGACTGCCAAGGGCTAAAAGGGGGTAGGTAGGGAGAGGGAAGTGGGTGTGGTTATCAAGGGGTCATATGAGGTTATATCAGGGACCCTTCTGGTGGTTGAAATGTTCTATAAGGTCATGATGTCAACATTAATATCCTGGTTGTGATATTATATTATCATTTGACAAGATGTCACCAGTGCAGGAAACTGGGTAAAGGGTACAGGGGATCAACCTGTAATATTTCTTACAACTGCATGTGAAGAATCTACAATTACTGCAAAATAAAAAACATGAAATATTAATACATTTAATTAAATTTTTAAAAAACAGGACAGGCATGGTAGCTCACGCCTGTAATCCCAGCACCTTGGGAGGCCAGGATGGGAGGAAGGCTTCAGCCCAGGAGTTCAAGACCAGCCTAGGCAACATAGTAAGTAACTGTCTCTACAAATATTTTTTTTTTTTTTAGAGACGGAGTTTTCGCTCTTGTTACCCAGGCTGGAGTGCAATGGCGCGATCTTGGCTCACTGCAACCTCCGCCTCCTGGGTTCAGGCAATTCTCCTGCCTCAGCCTCCTGAGTAGCTGGAATTATAGGCACGCGCCACCATGCCCAGCTAATTTTTTTTTTTTTTTTGTATTTCTAGTAGAGACGGGGTTTCACCATGTTAACCAGGATGGTCTCGATCTCTTGACCTCGTGATCCACCCGCCTCGGCCTCCCAAAGTGCTGGGATTACAGGCTTGAGCCACCGCGCCCGGCCTCTACAAACATTTTTTAAAAAATTAACCAGCCATGGTGGTGCATGCCTATAGTCCCAGCAACTCTGAAGGCTGAGGCAGGAGAATCATTTGAGGCCAGGAGCTTGAGGCTGCAGTGAGCTGTGATCACACCATTATACTACAGCCTGCATGACAGAGTGTGACGCTGTCTCTAAAAATAAAAAATTAAATTAAAAAATTTAAAAACATAAAATATATCTCACCCTTTATGCTGACTTTATATTTTGAAGAAAAATTATTTTAAAATTATATTTGAATATCATTGCTTTCTTTTTAATCTTTGAGAAGAATTACAAATTGCAAAGTCATAAAAATGAGAAAATACTAAAGTAGAATTAGGGGGAACTTAAGAAGAAAAAATATTCACCCATTACTGAGAAAAAAATGAAAACGAGTATGAAAATTATTGTGATTAAACAGATAGCCTACCAGGTCATCTGAAATCCCTGACACTTGATATCCTTTACTAGAATATTTAATTATATCAGAACATTGTGAATAAACAGACGGCCCCCGCTACACTCTTGCCTCAAGCCTTGCAAATATGAGGGCCATGCCTACTTCCTGCCTCCCCGCTCTCTCCGTGTGATCTGACAGCACTCGTGAAGGGGAAAACACGGTTTATAAAACCTAGGTCCAGAATCTAACTCTGTTTTACAGAGAAACACAAAACAGTTTTACACAGCATTGCTATCATACACTGATATTCTAGGAATGCAACTAACATGTAACTTAAGGAAAGACAGTACTTTGCTTTATTCAAAACGTTTAGCCTGAGCTGTCAGCATTTCAAAGTCACTGATGTCAACACGCCTGGTCTTTGAATTCTCAACACTGCACCCGTGAGTCAGTCTCATTTGCAGCACTCATGCTTACACACAGCAATCTCCACTAATGCACAAGCATCTAACGGTCTTCTAGTGGAGTCAGGCTCCAGCGTCTACACACTATGTCACTTTATTAGAAACCATTTGCCTTTTATTTCTTCTCTACATTATAGGTAGGGCATTATGCTGATTTTTTTCAGTAATATATATGAACTGGTGAATTTCATTTTAGGATAGTAAAGGAGCACGTTACAGAATAATCATCATTTAAAAGGGTAACTGGACTACTAGGTTGAGGCCTCTGACTCGAGCAGCTTCAGAAAGCCTGCTAGTGCATCCTTCTCCTTGCCTGCATGCACAGAGGGCCACACAAGGGAAACAGCCATGGCCAGATGATAAGAACAGGGGCCATCCTGCAAGCAGAAGGGGAGGACAAGGCCACCTTCCAGCAGGCACTAAAGTAACAATGAGAACAACAAAAACAAAATACACAAAAGAAAAGAAAAGAAAAAAATGGCAAAATTGCACTTTACGATTTAGTGCCCTCCTTACTTTCACCCCAGATGATGCAAATTTTTTTCTTCTTCCTTCAACTGAGCATAAATGATATGACCTGGCTGGGCGCTGTGGCTTAATGCCTGTAATCTCATCACTCTGGGAGGCTAAGGATTCAGTGAGCTACGATCACACCACTGCACTCCAGCCTGGGCAAAAGAGTGAGAGCCTACCAAAAAAAAAAAAAAAAAGAGAGAGAAAGAGAGAGACAGACAGACAGACAGACAGACAGACAGAGATGACCTGATAACCACACATTCTCCAGTAATATCCCTCTCAATTTCTGACTTGGACAAATACAAGCTTCCGTCTATAAAAATAGGTCATCACAGAAAACTCTCTAGAACTATCTGGAAAGCTTTGGCAGATCATAAAAGGGGGACCATCTGAAGATTACAAGTAAATAGGCACCTATAAAACAAAGTTACTGGTAGAAATGGGAGATTTCAGAAAAATCTCCAATTTGCATTCTCACTGAAATTGAAGATTTTATACCTATGAAAGTTGAGCAAGAAGGCATGAAGAAGAAATAATTTTAAGTCAGATAAGTTAGACTAAAGATTAAAAACACAATAGTTGAAGAAAAGAAACATACAGAGCAAAGCATATTAGATGATAAACCCTTTAAAATCAGAGCATGAATGAAAGTGATCACAAGAATCAGAGAAAATATGTGACACAGAAGAAATACACAGGAGACCAAATACACACATACTTTAATTTCCTGGAGGAGACGCCAGGGTAAAAAGAGAAGCAATAATCAAAGTAATAACAGAATGCCTAGAAGGCATTTAATAAAACCCATCACCAAATCCTAATAACTCAAAGGAATATAGGGAGACAGGACTTAACATGTAAAACAATGCCCCAAGCCAACTTTCTGCATCATATTTAATGACAAAACACCAAAATCACCCACAGTAAAGTGAGAGCAAGTCAAGGATGTCACTAGCAATTAACACAACTGGGGTAACACACACAAAACAGCAAGAACTACTGGAACGGAGGAGACAAAAGGCATCATTACCTGCAGCTGATATCACTGTCTGCTTGGAAGACACCCGAGAATCAGCTGAAAACCATTAGTGCTAAGAAGAGAGGATGGTAAGGGAGCAAGCCAGTTCCAAACTAAATATTTTTAAAGTATCTAATTTAAAAATACAGTCAATGACAGTGCTAATACCCAAATTGGAATGATCCAGAGAAGATTAGCCTGGTTCCTGTGTAAAGATGACATTCAAAGTTGTGAAATAATCTATATTTTGTTTTTAAAAAAGAAAGAAGTATAATGAATAAAGAATCCCATTCACAATAGGAATAAAAGTATAAATGAAGGTATGAACTCAACAAAAAGCAAGAAAGGAAGGAGGGAGGGAGGGAAGGAAGGAAGGAAGGAAGGAAAGAAGGGAGGGAGGGAGGGAGAGAAAGAGGGAGGGAAGGCATGATCAAAGGTATAAACTCAACAAAAAGGAAGGGAGGGGAGGAGAGAGGGGAAGGAGGGAGAAAGGAAATAAGCAAACTTTAGGGGGAAAGCCAAAAAACGAAGAGAGGACATGGAGAACTGGAGAGGCTACTTGGTTCTGGATGAAAAGCACTGGCAAAGATGTCAGTATTGCTGGGGAGGTGCAGAGAGAGCTCCCGGCTGTCTGTACCACAGGCACCCAGGGAAGACCCAGGAAAGCTGCCATCCCCAAACCAGCACTGCACCTTGTGCCAACACAGAAAACCCTTGGCCCCACTCCAAAGCCCTGACTAAATCATATACTCCTGGGCAATGCAGGGCCACAACACCACCAGAAACTGCAAGCCACTCCGGGTCCATCCACATATGATGGATAAACAAAGTGTATGGCTATCCAGACAATGGAATATTTTTCAGCTTTTAAAAAGGAAGGAAATTCTGACACATGCCCCAGCGTGGATCAATCTGAAGGATACTATGCTAAGGAAAATAAGCCAGTCATAAAAGGATACTGTGTGATTAAGTAGAGTGGTAGCTGCCAACAGGGGAATGGAGGTGGCAGACAAGGGAATGGGGGGTGGGGCTGTGGACAGGGGGAGTGCGGGGTGGGGGCTGCGGAAAGGGAAACAGGGGCCTGCAGACATGGGAACGGGGGCTGTGGACATGGGAGCGGGGAGTTGTTCAGTGGGTACAGATGTGTAAGCTTGAGGGACCTGCTATGCAGCATTGCCCCGAATTACACACTTAAAAATGTATTCAGAGAATAGATCTCATGTTAAGTGTTCTCACTACAATGTGAAAATGAATTAAATGCAGAATAAAATAGAAGAAAATGAAAATACAGACAGTTCCAAACTTATGATGGTGTGACTTACCCTTTTTGACTTTAAGGTGATGCAGAAGCGACATGCATTTAGTAGAAGCTGTACTTCAAGTGTCCAGACAACCATCCCGTTTTTCACTTTCAGTAAATTAGGTTGGTGCAAAAGTAATTACAATTTTTAAAATGGCAAAAATCACAATTACTTTTTTGCACTAACCTAATACAATAAATTACATAAGATATTCAATTCTTTATTATAAAATAGGCTCTGTGTTAGATGATTTTGCCCAACTGTAGGCTAACGTGAGTGTTCTGAGTATGTTTAAGGCAGGCTGGCCCAGTGATGATGTTTGGAAGGTTGGGTGCATTAAATGTGTTTTGAACTCAGCATATTTTCAGCTTATGATGGGTTTATCCGGAAGTAACCAATGAAGTAACCGGAGGAGCATCTGTACCGAATCTGAATTTTTTTTTTTAAATCACAAACTATATTCATTGATAAACGACCTGTCTAAAATTACAAAAACAAGAACAAATGCATTCCTGGCACTCTGTGATTCTGCAGGTTCTTATCTCCAAACAGACTAGACCACACCTGCCCCAGGCCCCTTCCTTGAGTCCCCAACACTTCTTCAGGGCCCTTCAGAACTCACAGTGAAATCAGCACCTTCCCATAAAGCTGAGCTCTCTGAATGTCCCCCCACTTCCATGGCTGGATGAATCCCACCACTGCCCTTCCAAGCCAGTCTGTTCCCTTTCTCACATTTCCCAAACTGAAGGTCTTGCTGTACCTTATATTCATGACCACTGCCAGTTCAGACCACTGCCTGTTCCCCTCCCCACTGTAAGCAGACACCCTCCATCTCCGCAGTTCATGCAGCAAGACCTGGCATCCTCTTCCCCTCCCTATTGCCATCTTCAGACCCCTCCCCATCTCCCCATTCCCTAATGTCCCTGGTTCATGGTGCTCCTCCTCCTGTGACATCCGAGAAACTGACCTACCCACCTTCCGGCCTCTCAATTCCAAGACTTCCAACATTCCCTTCCTCTTCTCTCCTCCCAACAAGCCAACCCATCCATGGTTTTCTCTCAGCCTCTGTTTCCTAAGCTGCAAGTCCTGGTCCCAATATTTGTCTCACATGGACTTGGACAGTCTGCTCAATCTCTTTATGCCTCAGTCTCCTGATCTATAAAATGGGAATGGTAACAGCGTTGTAGTAAAGACTAAAGAAGACTATATTCATTTCACACTGAGAACAGTGGCTAGCACATAGTGAGCAAAGAATGCTAGTCACCAGTACTAGTAATTCTAGAACACGTAAAGATGATGGGGGAAGAAGATGAGTCTCCCTACTAGAGGAAAACAATAGCAGAACTAAGAACTCTGGAGTCAGACCCTAGGTTTGAATTTGGGAACACTACCTAACCTCCTGGAGCTTTGGCTTCTTCACATGTCAGATGGGGATAAGAATATTTGTCTTCCAAGTTAGAGGAGTTTCCCTGATAGGAGCCCAGAGTTATTCCCTCCCTGTGTCAGAGAGGACAGGTGTCTCAGGTTGGAGCCTCAGGCATTACCTGGGTGTGATGCAGGTAACTGGGAATGCAAGGGTCCAGGTATCAGCGAGGACACAGACAGCTTCTTGGCAGTGAGCCAGTCATGACTGCTTGCCCTTACTGATCACCCTCTGAGAGGTCTGAGATTCTGAAACCATTAAAGCAGAGTTTGGTCACAGTAAAACTAGCCTTTCACATTTATTTTGCCTTGTTTTTTTAACTTTTAAGAGAACATTGACATCAGTTTAAAATAGTGACATTCCTTTGGATTCCACGTGTTATATAAGGAAATATCTAAATGGGCACGTCCGTGTCTCACAGTTTTTAAAATGTTTTAAATGGGGTTATGTGAACCTCCTTCTAGTCAACTGCTATCTCCAGAAGAGATCTGTGTTCACTCCTCATCCCTTGGGGGCCCATCAGATCTCATCGCACTCATCCCACTGCTAACATGAGCAGAAATCTTACCCTATACCAACTTTACAATCTATCAGGAGAATCCAGCAATTCTACTTCCGGGTATAGCCCTCCCCAAAAGTAAAAGCAGTGTCTCAAGACCAGAGCAGCATTATTCACAATAGCCAAAAGGAAAACTTAGGCTGAGCATCCTTCAACAGATGAATGGATAAAGAAAATATAGTATATCCATACAAGGAAATATTATTCAGCCTCAAAAAGGAAGGAAATTCTGACACGTGCTATGGCATGGATAAACCTGGAAGATATTATGTTGAGTGAAATCAACCAGTTGCAAAAGGACAAACATTGTATTATGCCACACTCCATGAGGGGCCTAGAGCAGTCAGATTCACAGAGACAAAGAATAGAACCAGCCCCTGGTTGCCAGGAGCTGAGGGAAGGGGAATGGGAAGCGAGTGTTTAATGGGGACAGAGTTTCACGTTGGGAAGACGAAACAGTTCTGGAAACAGAAGGTGGTGATGGTTGTACAACGTGAATGAACTTAATGCCACTGAACTGTATGCTTAAAAACGATTATGTGTATTTTTCCACAATTCCAAAAGTAGGAAAGCTGCGAGCCAGCTGGCTTTCCCCTTCAGAATACATCCAGACACAGCTGCTGTTCCCTGGTGCCACAGCGGCTGGCCCAGCCCAGGTCACTTCTTTCCTAGACCACAGCCCCAGCCTCCAATCTGTTCTGCTCACTCCATCTGTCCACTCTCAACAAGCAGCCAAAGCAGTCTTTTTAAAATGCGATCAGGGTCATATCACTGCTCTGCAGCAAAATCTTGCAAAAGTTCCCCAGTGGAGTCAGAGTAAAAAATCTAAAGTCCTGACAGTGACTCCCAAGCTCCCCCATATTTCTGCCCTCTTCCCCAACCGCTTGTTCACTCTTCTGCGGCCCCACTGGCCTTCCTACCACTTCCTGGACGTGGGGGACATGGGACAGCTGTCATCTCTGCCTGGAATGTCCACCTCTCCAGCTGTCCACCTGGCTTTCTCATCTGTCCCACATCTTGCTCATGTAGCTTTATGAAGGCAAGGATGTTTGTCCTGCTCACTCATGTAGCCCTTTTGCCTAGAACAGTGCCAGGCACATGGTAGCCTCTCAAAGATATTTGTTGAATGAATGAATCAATAGGACTGTTTCTAAGGTCAGACATGTTAGTCAGAACTGGAACTTGGAGCCGAGGAGCAGGTGGGTGCTTTTGACAAGGCTGCCACCTAGTGGCTGGATTCCTTGACTGCCTTCTGGGGGTTCCCCAACCTTTCACTTGACCCTGGGGCAGGCAGGGAGGACTACCACCTGCACACAAGGAACCTCCTCATTCTCTAAATGCTACACCACTGTGTAACACGAGATATACACAAAGGACACCTTAGGGAGAAAAAGAAGGATAAGAACTGGAATCCCGGCCAGGCGTGAAGCCTGTAATCCCAGCACTTTGGGAGGCCAAGGCAGGAGCCTAGAAGTTCAAGACCAGCCTAGGTAACACGGCGAGACCCTGGTGGTATGCACCTGCATTCCCAGCTACTCGAGAGCTGGGGCAGGAGTATGGAGGCAGCAATGAGCTATGATCGCACCACTGCACTTCAGCCTGGACAACAGAGCAAAATCCAGTCTCTAGGAAAAAAAAAAAAAAAAAGAATCTAGAATTGTTTTTTGGAATTCAGAATTCAGATATGTGAATAATATCAATGAAAGAAAACCAATTAGAAAAAGTGGATGCCGGGCCGGGCGCGATGGCTCAAGCCTGTAATCCCAGCACTTTGGGAGGCCGAGGCGGGTGGATCACGAGGTCGAGAGATCGAGACCATCCTGGTCAACATGGTGAAACCCCGTCTCTACTAAAAATACAAAAAACTAGCTGGGCGTGGTGGCGCATGCCTGTAATCCCAGCTACTCAGGAGGCTAAGGCAGGAGAATTGCCTGAGCCCAGGAGGCGGAGGTTGCGGTGAGCCGAGA